ATGATGATATGTTGTCGTTGATGATGATTATGATGACGATGATGACGATTATGATGATGATCATGCTGCTGATGATGCTTGTGATTATGATGCTGATAATGATGATGCTGTTAATGATGATGCTGATGATGCTGATGCTGATGCTGATGATGCTGGTGATGATTATGATGATGATGATGGTGCTGATACTGATAATGATGATGCTGCTGATGATGGTGGTGATGATGATGCTAATGATGTTGCTGCTGTTGTTTTTGATGTTGATGATGACGATGAGTATGAGTATGAGTATGATGATGATGATGATGATGCTGATGATGATGATGATGATGTTGATGATGATGACGATGATGATGATGATGATGATGATGATGATGATGATGATGATGATGATGATGATGATGATGATGATGATGATGATGATGATGATGATGATATGAGGATGTCGGTGGTGATGGTGATGACGATGGAGGAGGAGGAGGAGGAGGAGGAGGAGGAGGAGGAGGAGGAGGAGGAGGAGGAGGAGGACCCGTCCCCTATCCACCGCCCCTACCCCTCGCCCCCGCTCCCACCTCCACAATTACGCATTATGAGTACTACTCTCCTCTCTTCCCTGACTCCGTGCGAAAGATGTCCAGCTCTCTCCGCGTATGGTTTTTGCACAGGATGTCAAGCATTGATTTTCCTGCATGTTTTTTCGGTCCGATTGTTTTCGGTGTTTCAAAATTGTGCCCCCGCTGCAGCGTGGGCCTCATTTTGGGATCGTCGCTGTGCTCGCGCCGTTCAGAACGGCGCTCTCGCCCCAGCGCCAGCCATTTTTCTGGATCCGAGTCCTTTTTCATCCTTGTCGCCCCCCTCGTATTCCCTCCTCTCCCTTCCCCTGGTCCTCCTCTTCCCGCTCCTTTCGCTCGAGTTCCAGCTGGTGCTGTTCGTCGTCGTCTCCCTCCTTCATCGTCCTCATTTTCCTCCTGCTCACCCGTCCCCTCCTTCTCTTCCTCCTATTTACGCAGCTCCCCTTTCCGATTGCGCAGGGCACGATGTTTTTTATTTGAGGGCCAGGTCGGCCATGACACGCGTCCGCGGATAGATAACACACCAGCGCAATGGGAAAGGAAAGGAGGGATGCACAGGATGTTAGATATGGCGCGATCGCACCTAGCTTGCTCCACGCCCATCTCCCGCTCTCCCCCCTCTCCCTTGCCCCCCTTTCCGAACCCACCGCCGCGTCCCTGCCCTCGGCTTCTCGGTGGGGATCAGCCGGAGCAATCTGCCAGGGCGAGTTCGCATTTGCCTGTCGATTCGGCCTCCCGTTGCCGGAGGCGGCATTGGCGTATCCCCGTCTCCTTCTCTCCCGCCCCCCCTCCCCTCCTGTTCCCCCTCGCTCCTCCTCATCTTCTCTCCATTTGGCTGGTGCGTTCGCGTCGGTTCGGCCGTCCTCTCGTTTTGCCCTGCATCCGCTGCGCTACTCTGCATCTCTGTCGTCGTGCGCTTCCAGTGCCCCTTTTGTCGGCGTCCCTCTTCTCATGCCGTGCCTCTCTCAGCAGCGCTACAACGAGCACGACGCAGAGTACAAGAAGATTAGCACGGACCCGCAGCGCATCCAGAAGCAGGCCGAGAAATTTGAGAGCGCTGTGAAACAGCTGCAGCAGCAACATAAGGAAAAGACAAGTGACATCGAGAACGCCAAGGACGCGTTGGATGCTGCTGCTGCTGAGGGTGTTGATGCTGCTGCTGATGATGATGATGATGAGGATGAGGCCCATGAAGCCCTACCACATAGCACTTGGTATTCTACCCCGCCTCAGCGTGCCAGGGGGCACGGCGGCGGATGAGTAGCAGTACCAGCAGCAGTATCGACAGCATTTCGCATCATCACCAGTATTATCATCATCATCATCATCACCACCATCACCACCATCATCATCACCACCATCATCATCACCACCATCATCACCGTACTCATCACCACCATCATCATGACAATCACTACATCATCATCATCATCATCATCCTCATCCTCGTCCTCGTCGTCGTCGTCGTCGTCATCCTCGTCATCATCACCACCACTACCACCACCACCACCGTCGTCGTCGTCGCCATCATCTTCGTCGTCGTCATGATCACCATCTTAACCACCATCCTCAGCTGTCTTGGTAGCCGTCGAGATAGTTACAGTCGTGCTCGCAGTCGTAGTAGGTGTGGCGGTCGCAGCATTTGTATTTAGTCGTAGTAGCAGCAGCGGTAGCACGAACAGGAGCAGTAGCAGTGGAGTGGGGATAAGAGCAGAAGCATGAAGGAACAGCAGTAAGAATAAGAGGGCGAGAAAATGGGGGAATAGGATAATGAAGGCGATGATAAGGAGGATGAGAACGTGGAGGAGCAGGAGGAGGAGGAGGAGGAGGAGGAGGAGAAGGTGGTGGAGCAGAGGCGAACACCAGTAGGTGTACGTAAAGGTATAGTCAACAATTCCCCACTCACTGCTTGCACTGAAGGGTTTCCCGCGAAAGTGGTAAGGATTTGACGAAACATCTGTGTCGATTTCAGCAGGTGGCCAGGTTCTCATGTTCCCAGGCTCTTGAGAGTGTTCGAATTTTGGTGAAAATTCCAGGACAATTTCGGTAGGCGGGCAAGTTTCCGTGTTTCCGGTTGTTGGAAGTTTGCCGCCGATTTTGGTGGGCGGCAGGGTTCCCAAGTTCCCACGTTGCCAGTTCGGGTGCGTGAGTTCTTGGGCGCATACTAGAGGATTGGGAGCAAACAGAGCAGAGAGTAGACAGTAAAGGAGGTCAGGGATACCGTGTAGACAGTATAGAGAGCAGAGAGCAGAGAACCAAGAGTCGAGAGTCGAGACATTACATAGAGATAATACGTATATATGTGTGCACACACACATATATATATACACATATACATACATATATATATATATGGAAACATGTATGCATGTATGTATGTATGCATGCATGCAGGTATGTATGTATGTATGTCTGTATGTATGTATACATGTACGTATGCATGTATGTATGCTTGTTTGTATGCACGTATGTAGGTACGTATGTATGTATGTAAGGTAATGCATTGTAATGTAATCTTTTGTAACGGATTGTTTGTGCTGTATGCAATGTATGTATGCCTGTATGTATGTATGCATGTATATATGTATGTCCGGGTGTATGCATGTATGTGTATGTACGTTTTGTACACAAACATGTACAGACGTGCGGATACGTAGGCAACGATCCACACACATAACTGTGTATATATGTCTATGTGTCAATAATAAATTGTACTACAGTATATCAGAAACAGCTATTCAATTTCATACAGGAAGAATATGGGTAGTGGAGAAAGTCAGGCGAGCATATACTGCAAGGTATAGAGTTTGTTGTGAAGAGCATCAATCAGAGGGGGCAGCATTCGCCGTCCTTCACCACCAGGAGTCCTCCCCGCTGGCCCACCACCAGCATGCTGCATTCAGATTCCACGCGCGAGCAGCCGAATTTGTTTTAACCTTGTGCAGAAGCAGGTGCACGTAGAAGTAAAAAGCGGAGGTGCGAGTGCCAGTGGCACCAGCGGCAGCTGCAGCAGCAGCGGCAGCATGAGCAGCAGTGTGGCCTTTGAGCCGGCTGGTGGTCTGAGATGGCCCGGCACTGGTTCCGGCCAGCAGGAAGGGCGGACAGGTTGGAGGCTCTGGGTTCAGGATTTTTTTTCTTTCGGCGTCATGGGGCCGTTTTCGGGCCTCGGGACCGTGTAAAACCGGGTCTGGGGTGAAAACTTGCACCAGGTGGACCCCAGGAGGGGTTCGGGGACCGATTTGGACCAGATTTGGTTCTAGTCTCAGACATGCTCGCGTCGTGAGAAAATCATGGCGGGAGGTTATTCGCTGTTTTCTGGCGGTTGCGTCAGTTCTCGGCGATTTTCCAGTTCTGGATGCTCTCCAGCAGCTGCGCCTCGCCGAAGGCACTCCGGGGTGCTGGGATCGTCCCGAACGGCCGCTGGAGAGCTGAGTCATGGTTCCCAGCTTCGAAAACCCAGACATGCTCGCGTCGCGAAACAAAAACCACGGGGGGAAGCTTTTGCCAGTTTTCGGCCTCCGGGGGCTCGCCAGGCCCCAGGACCGTCAACAAAAACGACTCTGGATGGAGAACCGACCTTGGGGAAAGGGTCGGGACTTCTGAGGAGCCTGCGCTGAAAAGATCAGCACATCGAGTCTCTGAGGTCCTCAACCCCTCTTCGACGCCTGGTCGTTTTTGAGTCATAGCCTCAGGTCGGGCATGTCCCCTACAGGCGGATTTTGGGCGAAAAATAAAAGCATCCGAACAATGCCCCAAAATAGCCAAAAATAATAAACAACAATCGTCCCCAGACTATTCTTTGACTATTTTTGGATATTCCCCCTGTAGAGGGACAGGCCCGACTTCATCACAGCCCCTTCGGGGCGACTTCGGGCACTCCCAGGAGCGCTCCTTCGGCGAGCGAGGCGCCGCCACGGGAGGCCACCCCGAGGCGAGAGAAGGCCTCCGAGCGCCAGCGAGGACTGCCTCTCCCCCCGAAGGTGTCTGCCTACCTTCTGGGGGTGGACAGGCCTCCTGCCCTGACGCGTCGAGTAGCGAATCGGCCGTGTTCGGTTCGCGAGAGGGCGTCGCGGTGGTCATCCTTGCGGGTCCAGGTCCGTCGGTTTCGGTCCCAGGCCGTTTTCACTGAAGGGTGGTTTACTCAGGGGAGGTTTCTCCACCGCCGAACCCTCTGGGCCATAACACGCGTTATCGCAGGCCCAGGGGTTGACACCAACACCAAGATCGGCGGTGCGCCTCCACCGAGGGAAGAAGGTCCCGATCTCGGTGATGGTGGTAATATTCTGGCTTCCAAGGCGACCGAAATATGACCACCGACACCGAACTCTAGGATCATCTCACCCTGGAGGCAACCCCCTATGTTGGTGTTGGTGCCCACTTCCAGGCCTCCAACGCTATGCCTCCTTCCCCATCCCCTCCCTCCCCCCCCACGAAGTGACGCTAACGCTCCTCCCCCCCCCCAGGCGTCCGCAGCGCTGCCTCCGTGGCCATCTTGGCTCAAGGGGCCCGCGCGCCCGCCCCCGTGGTGGCCACTCCCGCCACTCCTCTGCTCCATCTAACACAGCAGGTCTCACCCCGCGCGACGGGCGGCGGCTCGATGAGGGGCTTCGGCCTGGCCGCGGCGCTGGCCCTCCACCTGGGCGCCCGCGCTCCGGCGGCGGCCGCGCCGCTGGTGCGATCCGACGGAGCTGGAGGCTCGGGCCTGGAACTGCTGGAGCTCGGCTCCTCGGCTTCTCCGGGCGGCGAGGGCGGCTCGGGCGGCTCTGGAGGTTCGGGCATGGACATGCCCGGCATGCCCATGAGCGACATCGACACGGGTGCGTCCGCGCCTCGCGAGGCGAAGTTCTGCAACGGCCAGGCCACCTCGATGTCCATGACCGGGTTCGGCTCCGTGTTGTTCGACGAGCGCAGGGCGGACCATGACTGCCTGGTGTTCTTCGCCGCGATCTGGGTGATGGATACCCCCTTGAAGTTCGCGTTCGGGTGCCTGTCCGCGGCGCTGCTCGGCGTGGCCGCGGAGGCGCTGGCGAGGGCGCAACAGGACCCCAGGGTGAAGGCTGGCGCCCTGGCGCCAAGGCTTCTGGTCTACACAGTCGGCCTGATCGTCGGCTACCTTGTCATGCTGCTGGTCATGACGCTCAGCCTGGAGCTCGGCCTGAGCGTCATTGCAGGGCTGGCGTTCGGGCGCGGGTTCCACTGGTACCTGGCTGGCAACCAGGCTGGCAAGGATGCCGAAGGCCTGACGCCGTGCTGAAGCTCGCCGTGCTCGCGCGTGGAACTTCTGTCGGGGCGGCCGGGCGGCCGGGCGCCCGAGCGCGCGCGGCCTTCTCTTCCCAGTGTTGTTTTTTTGGGGAGGGCTGGGAGGAGGTGGAGGAACGAGGGAGGAAACCTGGGCGGGCAGGGAGGGGCGGTATGGTCGATATTTAAGACTATGTGGCGTGAGGTGCCTCTTCTACTCCTCTTCCTCCTCATGCTCTGTGCCAGCGGCCACCCTGGGGACTCAACCTGGCGGCCTCCACTCCTGTTCTCCACTCCCTTTCCTCATTACGCTCTGCACCAGCGGCCACCAAACACTGCTATTTTCCATAATTTCAGTAACATCCTAAAGCGACTGGCCACCAAACACTGCTATTATCGATGATTTCCATAATTCTCGCAACCAATTGCAGGCTGGCCCGAATGGTTGCGGGAATTATGGGATTTACAGAAATTTTAGAACATACAAGTGTTTGGTGGCCATTCGCTTTAGGAGGTTATAGAAATTATAGAACATAGCAGTATTTGGTGGCCCCTTGGTGCAGAACGTAAGGAGGAAACATAATGTAGAAGAGGAGTGGGGGCGACGAGTTTTGCAATGTGGAGGAGGAAGCGGAGGAGGGGGCAAGGAGGAGGAGGAGGATGATGAGGAGGCGGATAATGATACCCCCTTGCTTCCCGCCTTCGCCCACAGGCAGGCCACCCCACGAGCGAGCCTATGCCAACCGTGCTTCGGAGGAGAGGTTACGACCAGATGATCACCTTGGAGTGTAATACTCATATAACTCAGGGCGCAATGCTCTTCACATGGGTGTAATACCCAGGGCGTAATTGAAGGCGCAACGCTTTTTTAGGATGAGGATGATGGGGGAGGACCCACAGCAGGGCGTAATGCCTTTGATTTTGTTAGTAGGGGAGAAGAGCGCAATGCTCTAGGAGGACTAGTGTAATAAAGCCAAGCTTCGCGCGAGAAAGCAGGTCACGCTACGGATACCATGGCGCGACGGACCGTTCCTCCTTCCCCATTAGCCTCCTCCTGCTCCTGCTCCACCTCTTCTTCCTCCTCCTGCCTCTCCTCCTCCGTCCTCCCTCTTCCTGCTCCTCCTGCTGCAAGTCCGCCGCCTCCTCCTCAGCATTATCCTTCTCCATCTCCTCCTCCGCCTCTTCCGCCTCCTCCTTTTCCTCCTCCTCCTCCTCCTCCCGTTCATCGTGCCCTTGCCCCTCCTCTACGAGGGGTTGCTCGCATAACTGGGTGTCAACGCGGCTGCGCAACTACTTTTGTGAGCAACCTCCCGCTTCGCAGCGTTACTCACGAAACTAGTTGTGGAGCCTCCTTGACAATTAGTTTGGTGAGTCATGTGTTTCTCCTCACCGTCGTCATCCTCCTCACCTTTCTGCTCCTCTTCATTTTACTCCTCGCACTTCTCCTCGTCTTCTTTCTCTTCCTCTCTTTCATCCTGTCCGCTCCGCCCTCTCCGCGGTGAGGGGTTACTCACAAAACTAGTCGTCAACGCGGTTGCACACTTATTTCTCATGAGTAACGCCTTGCAGCAGGCCTTAGCAACAAGGGAAGTGCGCCAGTGGATCTCCCTGAATACACTTGAGGGGGGCGGGGTCCAGAACCCCCACCCCCCCTCCCCTCCCCCCCTTCAAGGGGGGGGGGGTCCGGAACTCTCCCCCCTCCCCCCCCTATAAGGGGGGGGGCGGGTCGACCCCCCCCCCACCTCCCTGAAGGGGGGTCCGGACCCCCCCCCTCCCTCCCCCTTGGCGCTGGAAAGGGGGGGGGGTTCGGACCCCCCCCTCGTGTAGGGAGTGCGGAGTTGGGAGTAGGGAGTGGTGAGTAGTGAGTAGTGAGTAGTGAGTTAGTGCGTAGTGAGTAGTGAGTATTGGGTAGTGACTAGTGAGTGGCGAGTAGGGAGTAGGGAGTAGGGAGTGGGGAGTAGTGAGTAGTGAATAGTGAGTAGTGTGTACTGATAAGTGAATAGTGAGTGGCGAGTAGTGCGTAGTGAGTAGTGAGTAGCGAGTAGCGGGTAGTGAGTACTGAGTAGGGAGTAGGGAGTAATGAGTAGTGGGTAGGGAGTACTGGGTAGAGAGTAGTGGGTGGCGAGTAGTGATTAGTGAGTAGTGAGTAGTGGGTAGTGCGTAGTGCGTAGTGAGTAGTGAGTAGTGAGTAGTGAGTAGTCAGTAGTGGGTAGTGAGTAGTGAGTAACGAGTAGTGAGTAGTCAGTAGTGAGTAGTGAGTACTGAGTAGTACGTAGTGCGTAGTGAGTAGTGAGCAGTGAATAGTGATGACTAGATAGTAGTCGGTAGTGGCAGTGGGTAGTGAATAGTGAGTAGCGAGTAGGGAGTAGCGAGTAGTGAGTAGTGAGGAGCGAGTAGGGCGTAGTGAGTAGTGAGTAGTGAGTAGATAGTAGTCAGTAGTGAGTAGTGGGTAGCGATCAGTGAGTAACGAGTACGGAGTAGCGAGTAGTGAGTAGTGAATAGTGCGTAGGGAGTAGGGAGTAGGGAGTAGTGAGCAGCGAGTAGGAAGAAGTGGGTAGTTAATAGTGGGTAGTGAGTAGCGATTGGTGAGTAGTGGGTAGTGAGTAGTGACTAATGACTATTGACTAGTGAGTTGTGACTAGTGACTAGAGACTATGTAGTGACTAGTGAGTAGGGAGTAGTAAGTAGTGGTTAGTGAATAGTGAGTAGCGGAGAGTGAGTAGTGAGTTTTGAGTAGCGAATATGGGAGTAGCCAATAGTGAGTACTGAGTACTGTGTAGTCAGTATTGTGTAGGGAGCAGGGAGTAGGGAGTAGCGAGTAGCGAGTAGTGGGTAGTGAGTAGTGATTTGTGGGCAATGAGTAGTTAGTAGTGAGTAGTGAGTAGTGGATAGTGGGTAGTGGGTAATGAGTAGTGATGAGTGAGTAGTGAGTCGGGAGTAGTGAGTAGTGCTTAGTGAGTAGTGAGTATTGAGTAGTGGGTAGTGAGGAGTGAGTAGTGAGTAGTGAGTAGGGAGGAGGGAGTAGTGAGTTGGGAGTAGTGAGTAGCGAGTAGTGGGTGGTGGGTAGTGAGTAGTGGATAATGAGTAGTGAGTCGTGAGTAGTGAGTAGGGGGAAGTGAGAAGTGACTAGCGAATAGCGAGTAGTCAGTAGTGGGTAGTGAGTAATGAGTAGTGAGTGCTCTTTGGGGGCTGGAGTTACTGGTTGGGGTTAGGATTAGAGGTTTGGGTTAGGGTGAGGACAGGGGTAGGGGTGGCGGGGGTCCGGTTTCCGGAGTCAGGGGGCGGCGTGCGCAAAGGGGGGGGAAGGGGGGGGTTCTGGCGGTTCGGACCCCCCCCCTTTGAAAGGGGGGGCGGGGGGGGGGTTCTCCGACGGACGGGATCGGAAGGGGGGGGGGGGTCCCCGGACGACGGATCTGGGAAGGGGGGCAGGGGGGGGGGGGTCCCCGACGACGGATCGGTGGAAGGGGGGGGGGAGGGGGTCCTACCCCCCCCCCCTTGGGGAGATCCAGCGGCGCACCCTCAGCAACAAGGCGTTGCTCACAAGACCCACTGTGGAACCAGGCTGACAACAAGTTTTGTGATGAGTAACGTGTCCCCCTCACCTTCGTCATCCTCCTCACCCTCTTCCTCCTCTCCCCCTTCCTCGTCCTCACCCTGCTCCTCCTTCTCCTCCTCGGTTCCTTCATCGTGCTCTCTCCCTCCCTGCTTCGAGACTTTGCTCGCAAAACTATGTGTCGAAGCGGCTCCACTTAGTTTTGTGAGCAACCTTCCGCTGCGCAGCGTCTCTCGCAAAAGTACTTGCGGAGCCGCGTTGGCATGTATTTCTGCGAGTAATGCGGTCCTCTTCACATGCGTCTTCCTCCTCACCCTTCTCCTGGCACCCGTCTTCCTCGTCCTCTTCACCTCCAGCCCCCCTCCTCCGCTTCGTTATTCAAAACAATAATGGCGGAACCGCGTTCACAACAAACTGCGGTTGAAGATTTTGCTAGGGCGCCGTCTTTGAGGATTTCAGCAGAGATCCGTCCGCGGAGGATTTTGCCAGGAATCCTTTTGCAGAGGACTTCAGTGGGAATCCTCTTCTGGAGAGTTTCAAACATAATCTTTACTGTCGAGGGTTTCAATCGGGATCCTTCAGAGGGTTTCGATCGGATTCCACCCGTGGAGGATTTCAATAGGAATCCTCCTGTGGAGGGTTTCAGTACGAATCCCTCAGTGAAGAGTTTCAATCGGAATATCCCTGTGAAGGATTTGGATGAGAGTATTTCTTGTCGATGATGTCAGTAGGGACTTTTCCAAAATGAATTTAAGTACGAATCCTTCTGTGAAGGGTTTCGCCCCCTTGCGAAAGATTTCCATGGGAATCCCTCGGTGGAAAAGTTCGAGAAAGATCCCTCGGTGAAGGGGTTCAATACAAACCCTTCTTGTGGACGGTTTCAATATTATTCCTTCTGTGGATCGTTTTAGTAAAAACCCTTGTGTGGCGGAGTTCAATAAGAAACCTTTTGGAGAGAATTTCGGTTGGAATCTTTTGCGGAAGAGTCCAATCGCAGTCCTCACGTGGAGGGACATCCGTCTGCTGAGGATTTCAATCGGAATTCGCCTGTGAAAAAAAAAGGGTTTGAATACGAATCCCTTTGTGGAGGATTTCGGTATTAATCCTGCTGTCGAAGGGGGTGTATAGGAATCCCCCTCAGGAGGGATTCGCTAGGAATCCTTTTGTGGAGGATTTCAATGGGACGCCTTCTTGTGGAGGGGTTCACCAGGAACCCTCTTTCAAACATTCCAATAGGAATTCTTCGGTGGAGGGTTTCTATAGGAAGCCTTCTGTGGAGGATTCCCATTGGAATCGTACTGATCCTTTTGCGGGGGATATCGATAAGAACCCTTCTGAAGAGGATTCCAATCGAATTCTTTCTGTGAAGAACTTTCACTCGGAATCAGATTGTGAGTGATTTCAATAAGAGCCCTTCTGACCAGGGTTTTATTGGGAATCCTTGTGTAGAGGTCTCAAGAGGAATCCTCATGTGAAAGGTTTCAATAGGAACCCTTCCCCTGGCAGATTTTCAAAGGAATCCTTCGGTGGATAATTTCAATAAAAACCTTTATGTAGTGGATTTCAATAAGAAACCGTTTGGGGATGATTTCGGTAGGGGTCTTTTGCGGAAGAGTTCAATCGGAATCTTCATGTGGAGGGTTTCACAGTGAATCCTTCTGTAGAGGATTTCAATCGGAATTCGTCCGTGGAGGATTTGAATAGGAATCTTTCTCTGGATGGAAGATTTCGGTAAGAATCCTGCTGTCGATGGGGGTGCATAGAAATCCTCCTCTGGAGGATTTCGCTAGGTATCCTTCTGTGGAGGATTTCAGTAGGAAGCCTTCTTGTGGAGGAGTTCATTGGGAACCCTTCCTCCGATGATTTCAATCGGGGCTCTTCTGTGGAGGATTTCACTAGGTATCCTTCTGTGGAGGATTCCCATAATAATCCTAGTGATCCTTTTGTGGGAGATTTCCATAATAACCATTCTGAAGTGGATTCCAATACTATTCCTTTTGTGAAGAGTTTTTGAATCGGAATCCGCTTGTGAAGGGTTTCGCACGTAATCTTGCTAACGAGGATTTCAATAGGAATCCTTGTGTATAGGGCTTCAACAGGACCCATTATGGGGATGATTTCATTCTGTGGAGGAGTTCGCTAGGAGTCCTTGCCCCTAGGGGATTTCAGAAGCAATTCTTCTGTTGAAAGATTAAATGGGAATCCTTCGGCGGAGGTTTTTGATAGCAATCCAAGATATCTTTTCGGGGGATTTTCTGGAGGAATCCTTTTGCGCAGGGTTTCAATAGGGATCCTTCCGTGGATAATTTCACTAGTAATCCTCCTGTGGAGAGTATCGGTAATAATCTGTCTTGTCGAGGGTTTCAAAAGGATTTGAATGAGGAGGATTTGAATAGGAAACCTCCTCTGGAGGATGTCAATAAGAAAATTCATGTAAAAATAATTCCCGTGTGGGGGATTGCTCTAAGAATGCTTATGTGGATGAGTTCAATAGGAATCCTGCTGTGAAGGATTTCAGTAGGAATCCTCCTGTGGAGGATCTCCATACGAACCCTGCTGTGGAGGAGTTCAACAGGACTCTTGCTGAAGAGGAATTCAACAGGACTCCTCCTGTGAAGGATTCTCAAAAAGAATCCTTCTATGAAGGATCTCAATATGAACCCTTCTGTGGAGGATTCCAATTGGAAGCCTTCTTATGGAGGGTTCCAACAGGATTCCTTCTGTGGAGGATTCCAATAGGAATCGAGGACCATTCTTCCTCCTCCTCAGCCTCCTCTTCATCCTCAGCCTCTCTCCTCCTGCTCCACCTCCTGCACGTCGTCCTCATCTTCTTCCTCCTTCTCCTCTCTCGTTCTCTCTCTCTCTCTCTGTCTCTCGTTGTTAGCGTTGCTTTGCTTGTGCTCTTGATTGCATTGTTTTTTCACGTTTTGACTGCGCGCGGAGGGGAAAGGAAGGATGATGAGGAGGGGGACGAGGATGATAATGAACATGAGGAGGAGGAGGAGGAGGAGGAGGAGGAGGAGGAGGAGGAGGAGGGGAAAAATGATGGTGATGATGATGGTCATGGTGCTGATCATGATATAATTACGATTCCAATGAAAAACAAGGCGCGCCACATAGTCTTAAATATAACCCCCACTGTGAGGGGCGGGCCGCCGCCCCGCTCGGCTCCCGTGCGCGCACTGCTGCCCCTCCTCTGGGAGAGCCGCCCGGCGCCGCGCCCGCCTGCGAAAAAAAAGAAGAAGGTGTCCACAGTGCTGCCGCAGTGCGTCCGGCACCACTGGCAGTGGCGCCGGACCCACAAGGCCGAAGGAAGGGGGCGTTCCGTAATGCACCCGCCCCGCCCCCCCCCCGCTCTCCCCCACCTCCCCTACAGACAGTCGGGTAAATTGGTACGATTTGAGATATCGGCCCGAAGCCTCAAATCGCACGGAGTTGCCCGACTGTCGGCCCCGAAAACACTCCAGACGGTCCCAAAATGGAGGGTGTGAACGTGGCCTCGGGCGTCGGATCCAGGTACGGATCCGCCACGGATCCTGGGCGGATCCGATGTATTTATCACGGATCTGGGCATTCTGAGTGGTGAAAGCCTATTATGTTTTGACGGATCCTGTCGAACCACTGTACCCGTATATCATATCAATTAAGGGTAGTGAAGGTTTTCGAGGCCAGCTT